TCACAACAAACTAGGAATAGAACTACCTATATTTCTACAAAAGTCCTACAGCTAACTTGATACTTAAAAGTGAAAAACTGAGTGCTTTCCTGTAAGATAGAGAACTAGACAAGAACGTCTGCTCACCACTTCTGTCACTATTGCTTCTGTAAGTTCTAAGAAATGTAGTAAGAATAGAAAAAGAAAGAAAAAGCATTAACATTGGGAAGAAAGAAATAAAACTATTTGCAGATAACATGATTATGTAAACAATTCTAAGGAATCTACCAAAAATTTCCTATAATTAATGAGTTTAGCACCATTGCAGGACACAAGATCAATATACAAAATTTAATCATATTTCTGTGTGTTAAGCAATGAACAATTGTAAACTGAAATTTTAAAGAATACTATTTACAGTAACTCTAAAAAAGTGAAATACTTAGATACCGGCTTAACAAAGCATGTGTATGATCCATATGCTAAAAACTACAAAATACTGATGAACAAATTAAAGACCGAATAAAAATACGTGTTTATTCCTTAATATAGATTTCTTGTTGCTCAGTTATTAAGTTTTAAAAAATACAAATGGATTATAGCTAGAATCATAGCATGCTCACTAAAGAAAAATAATAGAATAAGAAAATCTTGTTGGTTCCCAGCTTCTTTCCTTTACTACATGATTTTATTGGGTCAAATTTTTAAAATTTAAAATAAACCTGTAAATATATAATTCAGTGACATTATTTATTGTTTCTTGCAGGAGTTTTTTGTGGAGCCCTTTAATCGAAAAGCACGCCAAGAGAACTTGAGATATAATAATATGCTTAAACAACTTAGCAGTCAACAGTTAGCTGCTCTGAGACGCTGGAAGGCAATACAGCTTTATCTTACATGTGAAAGGGGACCTTGGGCTGAAAGGTAGGAGCATACCGGTATCTTTTAGTAAATACTCTTTTTTCTGTAGAACTCTGGTCTAGAACTTTTTAAGCCAATGGCTTCTCCAATCCAATGTAAAAAAACGTTCCAATATACAAAATAATGGGAGGTGGGAGAAATGGTTAAAGGGGGTATACATTTATTTTTTTCTTGAAAATGAATCATGAAGTCATACATCTTTTCTCTGGAATATTGTGCATCCATTAGAATTAGGCTTACAGTTTTTAAAGACATGGAAGAATGCTAATGCAATCATATTAAATTTTTAGATAGATTCATATTATTATATGGGATGTCATCAAGGTATGTAAAAAGCAGAGATTAAGACCAAAAAGAAATACACTTAACTATTACCAGTGATGACCTTTGGAAAACAAGCAAGCAATGGAGGAAAGAAATTACTGGCAGAGATTATAGTCACGAGGCACATACTCATTCAGCTGCAAAATGAATGTTAAAAAGCATATGAATTTTAAAATTCAAGTGAAACTAAGTTCCTTACATATTTTGGATATTAATGCCTTATCAGATATATTATTTGCAGATATCTTCTTGGATTCAATAGGTTGTCTTTCGTTTTGTTGATGGTTTCCTTCACTGTGCAAACACTTTTTAATTTGATGTAGTCCTATTTGTTATTTTTGCTTTTGTTTCCATTGCCCAATGAGACATATCCAAAAAGATACTGCTAAGAGCGATGTCAAAGGGTTTACTGCCTGTGTTTTCTTCTAGGAGTTTTATGGTTTTGAGACTTACATTTAAGTCTTTAATCCATTTTGAGTTTATTTTTGTATATGGTGTAAGAAAGTGGCCGTTTCATTTTTTTGCATTTTTTCCCAACATTACTTATTGAACAGACTGTCTTTACCCCATTGTATATCTTTGCATCCTTTGTGGTAGGTTAATTGGCCGTATAAGCAAGAATTTATTTCTGGGATGTCTATTCTATTTCATTGATCTATATATCTGTTTTTATGCCAGTACCTTGCTGTTTTGATTATTGTAGCTTTATAGTATAGTTTGATGTCAGAGAGAGTGATACCTCCCACTTTGTTCTTTCTCAAAATTTCTTTGACTATTCAGAGTCTTTTGTGTATCAATGTAAATTTTATAACTAGTTGTTTTAATTCTGAAAAGAATGCCATTGGTGTTTTAATAAGGAATGCATTGAATCTGTATATTGTTTTAACTATGTAATATTTAAAAAATAAAATAAAATGTATAAAAAGCAGAGATTAAGACCAAAAAGAAATACACTTAACTATTACCAGTGATGACCTTTGGAAAACAAACAAACAATAAATAAAAAATATAATAAATATAAATATAAAAAATATAATAAAATAAAAAGTATAAGGAACTCATACAACTTAACCCAAAAAAAACAAACATCCCAATTAAAAAATAGGCAGAGAACCTAAATAGATTCTCTCCAAACGGGACATACAGATGGCCAACAGATATATGAAAAGATGCTCAATGTCACTAATCATCAGTGAAATACAAATTAAAACCACAATGAGATATCACCTCACACCTGTGAAAGTGGCTATCATCAATAAATCAACAAACAACAAGGGTTGATGAGGATGTAGAGAAAGGGGAACCTTCATATTACTGTTTGTAGGATTGTAAATTAGTGCAGCCACTATGCAAAACAGTATGGAGTTTCCTAAAAAATTAAAAGTAGAACTGCCATATAATCCAGCAGTTTCACTTCTGGGCATTTATCCAAAGAAAACAAAATCACTAATTCAAAAAGATATATGCATTCCTATGTTCATTGCAGCATTACTGGTAATAGCCAAGATATGGAAGCAACTAGATGTCCATCAATAGATGAATGGATAAAGATGTGGTGTATATATATGTATACATATACATACATATATATATATACACACACATATATATATATATAAAACATTCTACTGTGTGTATATATATTATATATATAATACACATATAACATATACATACACAATAGAATATTATTCAGCAATATAAAAAAAATGAAATCTTGCCATTTGCAACAACCTGGATGGATGTAGAGGGTATTATGCTAAGTGAAATAAGTCATACAGAGAAAGACAAATACCATATGATTTCACTTATATGGGGAATCTAAAAACAGTAGAACAAATGAATAAACAAAACAACAGAAACAGAAACATGGATATAGAGAAGAAGGTGATGGTTGCCAAAGTGGGGAATTGAGGGGATGGGAATTAAAAACATGGCAGAGGGACAAAAATATTAATTAAAAAAAACAAGTGTCTTGCACAGTGAAACACAAAGTTCTTCACAAGTGGATCAAGTGAATCACAGGATCTTATTTGTTTGTAAAAATAAAGTTCCCATTTTATCACATTCAGATTTTTTTTTAAAGTACTCATTAACTACACATTCTGTGAAGCCATTACAGAATAGACTGCACTATAGGCATAGTAGAGATAAGGCTACAAATGTTACTTGGACTCAGCGCTAGGGTTTTATTTACATATCAGTTCTGGGAGATTTTCAGCTACTCTTGGGACCAGATTGCATATGTGTCACTGGGGCCTATTTGTTGGGAAAGGGACAGTGAGGACGTAGGTGAAATATTACCTGGGGCTTTTGCTGTCTCCTCTGGGAAACCGAGTTCAGGCACTGTCAAGGGGAATCATAGTTCTACCCTAAAACAAGCTTCAGATTATTTGTGGGTTGTAAGAGTTCCCCTGAAAATGCCAGCTGCTGGGAACCCCTGTTATTTTTGTCTCTTTAGCACCACTTCCTCCTCCTTCTGGTACTAAAGCCCCTCCTTTTGTGAGGAACCCACTCTAATACAGCCCCCTCTCACTCACCTCATCACAAAGATGTCATAGACTCAAGTCAGGTAATCATTCTTCCCTGAGACCTTGCTGCTGGTGCTGTCAGAGATTATTGTGGCTTTGGGGATCACTGAGCTAGCAGAACGTGAGTCTCGAGCTGTGATTGGCCATCTCACCCCTCACTTTTAGGAGCCAGTCTGAAAGGGTGGAAGAATGATTTCTGGTGGCATTATTTAAGCTTCTGAATCCAACCAGACCAAATGCACTGCTAGGCTTGCAAGTTATGAAAGCTAATCTATATCTTGTGTGCTTATAGCAGTATGAGTTTTGCTTCCTTTACTTACAACCAAAAATATAAAATTGGCTATTATACTGCAGTACCTGAAAGCTATTTCAGATGAAACAGTGAGTGGTATTTCCCAGTGTAGAACTTATTGGAGCTGTCCCCTGGACCTGGTGCTGAAGAAGAAACCATTCTGTGGCCTGCATCTTAGCCCTAGCATAAGAAAGAGAAGGTCCCTATGGCAGGAGTCTCTGGGATGCCCAGCTGCCATGGTAAGTCTACCAATTGGCTTTGTAGTTTCAAGAGAATAAAGAATCATGTCAATTCATTGACAGATGCCAGAAGCATGTAGGAAGTTTTGTTAGTAAGGTGAAGCCCAGTGGCAAAAGACTCTGGCAGTAAGCAAGAAGTCCACAGTTAGCATCAATCTGGAAGCAGAAATCCAACCATACCCAGGATCTGGATTTGAGAGTTTTGTCCCTGAGAAAGAAGATTGGAAAAAAAGTAGGACCTCAATGTTAGAGCAAGGGTTGTGTCAGAGGCCCTGGGTTCAAGTCCCATCTCTGACATCTATAAGCTATATGACTTAGGAAAGTAGCCATTCCTCAGCCTTGGTTATCTCACCTTCAGATTGGGGGTATTGATTATAATGATGGTAATCAAGACACATACCTGAATTGGTTTTAATTTCTACCATTAGAGTTCTTTACTTTCTGAATTGTGTAGTTTATATATGTTTGTCTCCCAAATTCTCTTCCGTACGAAGAGACTTGTGCTTATCTCCTTGTCTCTCAAAAAACAAAAACTTATAAAAGATTGCTTTTAATTAATTTGACTGTCTTTTGTGAATTATAGGTCTGGTATTTTTAGAGCTCTGTGTGTATGTGTTTTTCACCATGGATTTATTTCCTGTCTTTTTACCCTGTGATCTAGAGTTTCTTTTGAATCAGTTTACTTGTGTCTTACTACCTCTATGAGCTAGGGTTAGTGATGCTTTGTGTTTGAATATTTACAGTTGTTTTTTTGTTACTTGATTCCTAAGTCACTCTGTTTTGCTGAATAATACTGTATTGTCTTATGTTTTATTAGATTGTTTTTACAGTCCTTTTTTATTGTGGTAAAATACACATAATACAAAATTTTAACCATTTTAAAATATACAATTGTGTGTCATTAAGAACATTTATAACGTTGTGTAATCATCACCACTGTCCCGCTTCAGAATATTTTCATCACATCCAAAAGAAACCCTGGACTCATTAAGCCATCACTGCCTGTTATTCCCTTCCCCCAGTCCCTTGCCACCACAAATCTGTTTTCTGACTTGATGGATTTGTCTATTCTGGATATTTCATATAAATGGAATCATACAATATGTGGCCTTTTGTGCCTGGCTTCTTTCATTTAGCATACATCAATACTGCTTTCCTTTTTATGGCCTAATAATATTCCATTGTACTGTTCATTCATCAGGTAATGGACATTTATTTGGGTTGTTTTCCTTGTGGCTATTGTGAATATTATTGCTATGAACATTTGTGAACAAGTGTTTGTTTCAACATCTATTTTTAATTATCTTGGATATATATCTACAAGCAGAATTGCTGGGTCATATGGTAATTTTATGTGTTAACTTACTGAGGAATTGCCAAACTGTGTTCGTAGCAGCTGCACCATTTTACATCCCCATCAGCAATGATTGAAGGTTCCAGTTTCTCCACAACCTTACCAATACTTGTCATTTTCCAATTTTTTTTTATGGTCATCCTAGTGGGTATAAAGTGGTATCTTATGATTTTGATATATTTCCCTAATGACTGATGACATTGAGCATCTTTTCATGTACTTACTGGCCAGTTGAATATCTTTGGAGAAATGGAGAGATGTCTGTTTAAGTCCTTTGCCTATTTTTAAATTAGGTTGTTTGATTCTTTGTGGTTGAGTTGTAATAGTTTTTTTAATATTCTCAATAATAGACATTTATTAGATATACTATTTGTAAATATGTAGGTTGTGTTTTCACTTTCTTGACAGTGGCCTTTGGTGCACGTAAGTTTTGTATTTTGAAGTCTAATTTATCTTATCTCTTTCTATTATTACTTGTGTTTTTGATGTTATAGCTGAGAAACTATCCCCAAATCTAAGGTCATGAAGATTTACCCTGTCTTTTGTTTTAAGAGTTTGAACTCTTTTATTTAGAACTTTGATCTATTTGCAATTATGTTATCTTTACTTGTAAATGGTTTTATTTTGAAAATCATATTTGAAATACACTCGTATAGCTAGTGAAGAACTTCCACATAACATTTAAAGATTAAAAGATAGAAGCTGTAACACTGAATGTTTATGTTCAAATCTTATTCCTGATACCTATAAACCATATGTTGTGTTGGGAAAATAATGTAGCCTGTCTCATGTATAAACTGTAGCTACCCATACTCACGTTGGTTGTCTATCAAGGTTGTTTTGGGGTCAATTGAGGTAATGAATGAATGTTTTTATAAAATGGTGTTAAACAAATGTTAAATACCTGATACTTTCTTACTCTTTTTCAGTCTTTGTAACTTTCAGCTAAATAATTTTACTTGTTTACTTATAAATATTCATAGGAAACAAAATCTAATTCACTGGAAACTAGCTAATGTAGAAAATTACTCCCGCATGAGACTTAAATTGGTGCCGAATTATAACTTCAAAACCCATGATGAAGCTAGTGCCTTGAGAGATAATCTAGGTGAGTTCCAAAAGCTATTTGATGAAGATAGTGAAGGTGTTGTTGGGGTTGGTTATTGTTTTTATTGTTTCAAAATGATTTACTCATGAAAGAAGGGTGACCTTTTAGAGTTGACATTTAAATGGTTGTATCTGTTAAATGCTGCTACTTTTGGCCTAAATCTCATATGACCTCCTGTTTCAATTGATTGTAATTTTTCAAACAAAAACAGAATTTAAAACCATAAAAGTATACTATGGTTCATGTGAAATGTGTTGCCCCATATATCCATTATGCTACAGTGAAACTAATGGTCCTTTTCCCTTGGCCTTTTGCTTACCAAGGCAGATGCTAATTAAAATATATTTAGAATTCTTAGCAACTCTTTAGGCCTTTCTTTTATGTGTTCTTACAGAACTCTAGATACTTAGTATCTTAGATGGGCCCATGTGATTTTTTTTTTTTAAGAAAAAAAATGCTTAAAATTACATAGCCATCTGTGTTTCAAAACCGATTTTAGTTTCCACAATTCTTTAGGAAGTCATTCTTTTCTAACCATCTGACTTGAGTTTCTCCTTTTTTGAAGCGAGGTCTGTGAAATACCCCAAAATATTGATTGTTAAGAGCCATTGGCCAGTCATGTGTATACTAAATTATAGTTATTTTACCATAGCCACCTGTATACCTTGTATTCAATGACTAAGTTATAGACAAAATGAGTACCAGTTTTTAAATCTTACTGTTTTAAAGTTATCTTAATATTTTGGCCAATACAGTTGATGCCATAAAATAAATCAAGAGAGCTAAGTACTTTCTTTACTTGTAATACACATTATTATAATATAATTAGCAGTCAGAAATTACAGAACTATAATATGATTTTTCTTCTTTGTGTTTAATATATATTTTGTGTTTAAACAGGTGTCCAACACTCACAACCTTCCAGTGATTCATTGCTTTTGGAAGTAGTGAAACAAGTAAAAGTTAGTGATATGGAGGAGGATAAATTAGACCTTCCTGAAGAGGAAATAACAGCCAGAGTAAATATGTATGTATATGTATTTGAAAGAATTTAAAAGTATTTTGTTCTGAGAAATGGGATTGTAAAATTGTGGAACATTCTTGCTTGAAATTTTAATACTGTATATTTCCAGGATCTAACAGGTAATGCTATCTCAGCTGTTAAGTCTATCAGTGTTAATTTAGATTATTGAGGAAGGCTTCTTAGAACTCTGATAACTTGGAGCTGGCCCTTGAAATTAGAAAATATTTGAGTTGAATGATAATGAAAACATATCAAATTATGAATGTAGCTAAATCTGTTTAGATAGAAAGTATAGCATGAAATATAAACTCTTAAGCAAAAGGAAGAAATTATAAAGATAAAAGCAGAAATTCATGAAAGAGAAAAACAAAACACAAAGATCAATGAAAACTAAAGCTATTTATTAAAAAACAGATAACAAAACAGTAAACATTTAGCCAGACTGGTTGGGAAAGAAAGAAGAACTATAAATTGCCAGTGTTTGGAATAAAGGAGGAGATAATGCTACAAATATTAAAATGATTAAAAAGAAATACTAATGACAACTTTATGCCAATAAATTTGAGAACTCAACTGAAATAGACTAATTCCTTGAAAGATACAAATTACCAAATCTCCCTCAGGAAGAAATATATAACCTGAAGAGCCTTAGATATATTTTTAAATTTTGAATTTATAGTTTAAAATTTCCCCTAAGCAAATATATTTTCATTTCCTTATATCTCTTCTTTATGTTGTTATAATAAATATTAGATCTTCACGTATTTTAAGCCCACAGTACAGTTTTATAGTGTACTATTTTATGCACTTGTCTTTAAATTAGTTAAAGGAAGAAAAGAGAAAACTGTATAACTATACTGTCTTCTATATTTGCTACATAATTACCATACTTAATACACTTTATTTCTTTGTATACATTCAGATTATTATCTGGTGTCATTTCCTTTGAGCCTGAAGGACGTCTTTTACTATTTCTTCTAAGGAAGGTCTGATAGCCACAAATTCTCCCAGGCTTTGTTATTGGTGGAAGTCTTTCCTTTCATTTTTGGCTACTTTTTTGAAGATTGAGATATGTTTTTTGAAAGTTGAGATTTCCATAACGAACTTAGTATTTTAAAGTGTACAATTCATTGGTTTTCAGTATATATTCACATAGTTGTGCAACATCACCACTATCTTGTTCCAGAACATTTCTATCACCCCAAAAGGAAATCTTATACCTTTTAGTAGTTAGTCTCAATTTTCAACATTTTATGTACTTTTTACAGTGTGTGGCCTTTTGTATCTGGCTTATTTCATTCAGTATAATGTTTCCAAGATTCATCCATGTAGTAGCATATTAACAGTACTTCATTCCTTTTTATGGCCAAATAATATTCCATTGTTGAATATCTTTTTGTGTATCCATTCATCAGTTGATGGACATTTAAGTTCCTACTTTTTTACTATTGTGCTTAATACCTTGAATATTCATGTACAAAGGTTTGTGTCAATATTTTTTCAGTTATCTTGGATATATACCTAGGAGTGGACTGGCTGATCATATGGTAATTCTTTGTATAAACCTTTGAGTAATTGTGAAACTGTTTTCACTATGAGTACACAATTTTTCATTACTCTGAATAATGTGTGAGTTCTAATTTCTCCACATCCACCCCAACTCTTGTTATTCTCTGTGTTTTATTTAAATTTATTATACTGTCTTAGAAGATTCAAAGTAGTATCTCAGGATTTTACTTTACATTTTCCTAATGACTAATGATACTGGGCATCTTTACATGTATTTTTTGGCCATTTATATGTCTTTTGGGGGGAACTCTTTATGCAAATCCTTTGTCCATTTTAAATTGGGTTGTCTCTTAATTATAGAGTTGTAAGTCTTCTTTATATAGTCTAGATACAAATCCCTTATCAGATATATGATTTAAAAGTTTCTTCTCTCATTGAATGGGTTTTTTTTTCTCTTGTTGGTATCCTTTGGAGCACAAAAGTTTTAAATTTTGATGAAGCTCCAAGTTCCATTTACCTATTTTTGTCTCAGAGTTTGATATTTTCTCTCTCACATTTAGGTGTTTTGAATTAATTTTTGTATATGACTTGATGTAGGCATCCATATTCATTCTTTTGCATGTGATTATCTATTTTTCTTAGCATAATTGCTTTTTTTTTTAAAGATAGTTTTGCTGGGTTATAGTATTCTTGGTGGTTTTTTCCTTTCAGCATTTTAAATATGGCATCCCACTACCTTTTGGCTTTCATTGTTTCTGGTGAAAAAGGTGCTGTAAATCTTATTATGATATCCTGTATTGTGGTGCTTTTAGGTTATTCTCCCCCCCCCCAAAAGATTTTATTGGGGAGTTGGGGGAGGGGAACAGCGCTGGGGAATCAGGGAAGGCAAACAGACAAGTTGCTGTCCTTTTGTTCTTCAGTCTAGTTGTGGAGGACGTTGCTTCACTGGCCCACGTTGATATTATCATTGCGCTCTTCCCGGGTGAGGCAGATCAGTCTCCAGCCACTGGATGGCTGCTCATGGTGACTCTTAGCAGCTCACGCTGGCTGCCAGCCGCTCATGCCAGCTGCCAGCCACTCACAGTAGCTTCTGGCAGCCCACTGCAGCCTACGCCGTTAGGTTATTCTGTTTTGTCCTTGACTTTATGTCCATGTATAGATAGATATCTTTGTGTTTGTTTTACTTGGAGTTCATTGAGCTTCCTGGATGTATCAATTATTTTTTTTCATATTTGGGAGATTGTTATCTGTTATTTCTTCAAATATATTTTTGGCCCATTTCTTTATCCTGTATTACTAGGACTCCCTTCGCACATATATTGTTTAGCTTGATGGTGACCCTCTGAGGCTCTATCATTGTGCTTGATTCTTTTTTCTCGTTTTCTTCAGATTGGATAATTTCTTTTGACTTATCTTCAAGAGCCTTGCTTCTTCTGCAAGTTCAAATATGCTGTTGAGTCCTTCTGGTGAATTTTTCATTTAGTTATTGTACTGTTTGTTTCCAGAATTTTCCATTTGGTTCCTTTTTAAAAATGTGTATAATTTAAATCTCATTTTTTTTTAAAGATTTTTGTTGGTGGGGAGGGGAGCAGACAAGTTGCTGTCTTTTTGTTCTTCAGTCTAGTTGTGGAGGACGTTGCTTCACTGGCCCAAGTTGGCACCATCATTCGCTCTTCTCGGGTGAGGCAGATCAGTCGCCAGCTTCTGGATGGCTGCTTACGGCGGCTTGAGGGTTGCTCACGCTGGCTGCTGGCTACACACAGTAGCCCATGGCAACCCAGCTTAGCAGGGGCTGCAGCCTATACTGTCGCCGGTGACTCACGGCAACCCAGCTCCAGGTTGAGCTGTTGTTCAGCATCTTAGCTGTAGAGGGCAGTGTTACTAGCCCTCATATGTGGGATCTGAACCGGGGCCCTCTGGCATCCCAAGCCAGCTCTTAACCAATGCACCACTCGGCCGGCCCAATTTAAATCTCTTTTTGATAATCGCTATTTGACTAGAGTTTATTGCCATAATACACTTTTAGTCTTTAAACATAGTTTCCTTTAGTTCTTTTAATGTATTTATCACAGGTACTTTGAAGTTTTTGTCTCTAAGTTGAACATCTGGGGCCCGCCAGAGATAGTTTCTTTTTACTGTTTTTGTGTGTATGACCCATACTTTACTGTTTTTTTGTATGTCACATACTTTTTGTGAAAACTACATTTTAGATCTAAATACTAGCCACTCTGGTTTCTGATCCTTTCCCTCAGTGGTGGTTGCTATTGTTATTTTTGTTTGTTGGTTTAGTGACTTTCCTAGACTAATTCTATGGAATCTGTTCTACTTGCAGTGTCTTTCCAGTGATGTCTGTACTCACTGGGTTTTTGTTTTATTTTGTTTTTAAAGCCTGGCCTACTAGTGGTCCATAGCTTAGTGGTCAGCCAATGATTAGTTTGTGTTTCAGTTTAAATCTCTTGATCCAGTAAGACTGCCACTCTTTGACGGTGGATCTGTGTGTTGCTTAGGGAATGCATTCAAATTAGGTGATTTACACATCTGCCCAGACTTTTCCTTTCCATGTTTGTAAGTCTTCATATTCAGCCAAGAATGAGTAGCTAAGTCTCAAATACACAATTTATGCACATCACTTTGTTTGGATTATAAACTACATATGGGAAATATTTGTTTGGAACTTATTTTAATATTACAGATTGATCAGTTTCAATGTCCTTTGTTGGCATAAGCAGGATTTTTGTTCATGTAATTTTAATAATTTTTAAAGATTTCCTTTATTATTTTCAAGGAACTGGGTTAGGGTAGTTATTTAGGGAGCTATCTTTGAGATATTAGTCAGCCTTTTTTTTTTTTT